GGGACATTTAAACTTGCTTTTTTTTTAATTCCAATCTAAATTTAGTAGGAGTCGGAGTCGGAGTCGGTGCATTGTTTGGCGACTCCGACTCTGACTCCAGGTACCCAAAATTTCCTCCGACTCCGACTCCTCGACTCCGACTCCGACTCCATAGCCCTGCTTATAACAATGCTGTGCATCAGAGTACTGGGTTTACCCCATTCAAAGTGGCTACTGGGCGGGATTTTGTGGCTATCCCAGAACTCCCCCAGGAATCCACTCAAGTGGCCTCAGTAGATGAATGGATCAGACAAATGACAGATACTTGGCTGGTAATTAAAGCAGCATTGCAAGATGCGAGGGAGGATTACAAAAAACACGCAGATAGCAAGCAGTCCCTTGAAAAGGAATAGAAAGTGGGAGACGAAGTGTATTTATCAACTAAGTACCTCAGAAGACTACAACCATGGAAGAAATTGGGACCCAAGTTTGTGGGACTTTTTACAATAGAGACTAATTAACCCTGTTACAGTTCAACTATAGTTGCCTAAGAATCTTAAGAGGATTCACCCAGTATTCCATTCCTCTTAAAACCTTACAAAGAATCACCAGAGTGGCATGTTACACAACCACCACAAGACCCTGTAATGATTGAGGGTGAGCAGCACTTTGAAGTAAAAGAGATTTTAGATGCCAGAAAACACAGAGAAGTACAATTCATCATTCAATGGAGGCATTTTCCCAAGTCGCAATGTGAGTGGGTAGTGAAAAAACGTGTGGGCACCACAGTTGATTAAGGACTTCTACAAGAAGTACCCTGACAAGCCAAAATAATGAATTCATGTTGTAAAAATGAACATATGTTTTACTACCCTATCTAATTCCTGTACAGGTCTCCTTCCATAAAGTCCGAAACTGTTTTTTTTTTTTTTCCCCAGAGGGGTGGCATGTCAGAATCCTCACAATCAGTCACTTGCACTGCTAGTTCACTTGCTTCGTTTCTGCCATTACAGTGAAAAGGAGGAAGGGAGGGAAGGTTGGAAGGTTAACCATTAGGCACAGATGGACTATTATCTGGCTCTCAGGAATGCCCAAGGTCGTACCAACCTGAGAACCGGAGACAATCTTCGACACGCGCAAGAGAGATTCAGAGACAGAAGGGGGGGGGGTGAAATGGGGGTAAGGTAAAACTAAGTTTTGGTGTGCGCAGGACTCAGTTCCAGCTATGCTTCTAGAACTGTTCACTACTTTCCAATAAATGAACTTTCCTTTGAACCTGCATTTGTTTCAAAGAGAGTTGCTTTCACTGGGAACTGAGTCTTACAGTCTCATTCACTCTTACCATACATCTTGATGTCATCCATGTAGTGGAGGTGGCTGATGGTGATTCCACTCCTGAACTTGTACCTGTATCCAGTCCTCGTAATTGTCTGGCTGAGGGGGTTTAAGCCTATGCAGAACAGCAGGAGGGATTGTGCATCACCTTGGCCACACTTGATGGCCACTTGTGCGAGCTATCTTGAGTTGACTTCCAGTGTTGTGTTCCACAGTCCTACTGAGTTCTTGAGGAAGCTCCTTAGTGTCCTGTTGACTTTGTATAGCACCAGACATTCACAGATCCATGTGTGTGGCATTGAGTCATAGGCTTTCCTGTAGTCAATCCAGGCTGTGATCAAATTGTGCTCAAGGTCTGTCTAGACTTTGAGTCTTGGGCAACTCCTCTGTTTATGAGCAATTGGTGTTTTGAGCCTCTGGTGTTGTTCCCATTGCCTTTCTGAGCTGTATTCATATACTGGCCCATATGGTCCTATAGTTGGCAGCTATGCTGCCTGATAGGACTTTCCATGTTGTGGAGAGACAGGTTATTGGCCGATAGTTGGATGGTGCTGTTCCCTTGTGGGGGTCTTTCACGAGCAGCACTGTCCTTCCTTGTACTAGCCAGTCTGGGTGGGAGCCTGCTGCTAGCAGCTGGTTCATTTGTGCTGCTAGCCGTTCATGTACTGGTATTAGTTTCTTTAGTCAATAGGTGTGATTCTTGTGTGGGCCGGGTGCTCTCCAGCTCTTTATGTTCTTGGCCCTCTGTTAGATGTCTGCTACTGTGATGGTGACTGGTTCCTGTTCTGAGAGATTGCTCTGGTCTGCTTTCAGGTCCTGTAGCCACTTTGCACTGGTGTTATGTGTTTTCTCTTTCTCTCCTATGTTCTTCCAGTACTGTTCAGATTCTGCTATGGTGGCTGTGCTATAATTGTGTTATTGCACTGTAGTTAAGAGTACACCTTCGATGGTTCTTTGGAGAACAGGGCAATTATCTTCTTGGCCTCTGCTTCTCTAGTGCATCTCCTTAGTCTGGCAGCCACTGCTGTGAGCTTTTGTTTAGCAGCCTCTAGGGCTTCAGATGGAGTCAGGCCCTTGTATTTTTTCAGTAGCTGAGTCTTATCCTTAATCTCCACAGCATTTTCTAGTTCTACTATCTCACTAATGTCTCTCCAAGTTGCCTTAATCTTAGCCTCCAACCTCATTTTCCAGGAGAGGTATATACTGCTGTTCTTCTTGATTGTGTAGCTAAACTTCTCTGGGATTACAGTGGCTGTAGCGTATACCAGTTCACTAGCTTGAGTTATGGTGGTAGTATGGATTGTCGTGAGGGCTGTATTGGTATCTTCTAGCATGCTATATAGTCTTTTTATATAGTCTATATAGTCTTTTTATATAGAATTGTTATCAGCTAATTTTAGTATGGATATTTATATTTTTATTGTTTTTACTGTTTTGGATTTTAATTGTGAGCTGCCCAGAGTCACCCTCTGAGGGAAATGGGTGGCAAATAAATACATACATACATACATACATACAATGCAATGGTACTTCTCCACTGAGCCTTGGTAATCGGTCTTGAGGGTTGATTGTAGCTAGTTTATCCATGATCTTATGCTCAGCAGCTGTGCTCTGTAATGGAGGCGGTGGCAGTGACGTTCCAGCTTCAGGTATTGGCTGCACATCCAATTGTTCTTCTGGGTCTTCTTGAACCTGGGAAGTAATGTGTAGTTGGTTTATCTCAAGTTGTGAGAGCAGCTTCCTCTTCACTGCATTGAAGTGCTGGGTAACTAGTTATTTCTCAGTGTAGATGTAGGTCTTCTGTCCATCCATAGTTCCCTCATTTTTAGAGGGAGGGCAAGAGCTAGTTGGTCTCTCTCTCAGCCAGGAAAATGGGGTACCTGTGCAGTGATGACTCTTGCTGCTATCCTGCATTAAGGGTGGCTGACCCTGGAAAAGCAACCCACCAGGCATGTGAAAAATGCAGGGGACGCTGCGCATGGACAGCAACCTATAAGGAGACCATGGGCCAGGGATAAGATGAAATTGATTATGGTTGGCCTCAGGTGCTTAATTTTTTTTTTTTTTTAATTTTGTGGTTATTTTAAACCTGATGTTAGCTACCCAAATTGGCAGCCATATAAATGGGTGAAAGAAAGAAAGACCTGTGGCCCGCCACCCAAAATCATTCAGTCTTTGGTCTCAAAAAGAAATACCATATCCACCCACCCTTTGGTTACTAAGGTCTTTTCCTCCTCCCTCCAGACTCTGCGGAGCATCTCCTTGTTTTCCCCTTTGGCTGTGCCCCCTTTCTTTCCTCTAATAAAGAAACACATCTCTATGCTTCGCCCTGAACAGTCCTCCCAACTGCCAAGTTATTGGGCCAAGAAAGAGGGAGAGAGGGCCTGCCATCTGCTAACAGACATGGTGTAGAGAGTGAGGAAGATGACCTTGACAGAAATATGAAGGAACCTTTACCTAGGCAAAATGGGCTGAAACTTTTTTATTTATTTATCTCCAGAGAAATCAGATAACATTCAGAAGCAGTTCTGGCAGATGCCTTCCTAATTCACTGAAGTGTAAGAAGGAGAAGGTCCAGCACAATCAGACTGGCAAGGCTCTGATTGTCAAGGCCAATCTCAGTCAAAGTAGTTTTAACCTGTGGAGTTGATTTTCTGGTCTGGTCTACCTAGTGGGGCTAACACATGGTCTCCGGCCCCTAGGTGGAAGAAGGTTGCCAACCCTGACCTAAAGTGCTACACTGCAGCATCCAGCCAATATAGTGGTTTTTTCAACAGGCCTGGGAATCCCCTGTAACAGGGAGCCCACATGTTGGTGGTATCATGTTTAAGATTCTGATACATTCTGTCTTGTGATCTTGTTTCTGTTTAATTGTTTTAATGGTTTTTGAAGAATGTTTTAATTGTTGTTTTTATTATACGCCATCCAGAGTCATATCTGTGAGATGGGTGGCCATATAAATTTGATAGATAGATAGATAGATAGATAGATAGATAGATAGATAGATAGATAGATAGATAAATAGAATTGTGTTAATCTTGGCCAAATGAGGGTTGGTTCTGCTGTTCCTACTCCTGGACTGTAACCAGGTTTAACTTAGCAATACAAACACTGTATGTTAACCACAACACTTAAGCATAATGAGAAGCAGGTGAATAGAAGGCATGGTTCCTTGGAATTAGTTGGGAGAATAACTGTAGGCTGTACTTTGTACCTTAAAAGAGCCTGAAAGCCAAATCCTACAGTTTATTTTATAAACAGGCTTGATCACTGGTGAAGTCAGCTCTGCGTCTTTCATTGAAAATGTCTCTTTTTCAACACTCTCCAAGTTTAACCTTGAAGTAAGTTCTGTTTTATGGCCTTCTACTCCAACTGGAGCAAGGTAACAGTCAGTTTCTGCAGGATCCCTGCAGAGTTCCTAGAGGGTTCATAGCTGCCTGTATAGGACAGTTTCATAAAGATTATACTTGGAGATCCAGGGAGTAACAAAACTTATCTAAGCTTGAATAAAATAAGGGCAAGAATGATGGGCCTCTCTATGCTAGTTAGTGGGAGAAAAAAAAGAGAACTCCCCTCTGGCTACTGGAGGCTTGGCCTTTCAACCCTGTTCCAATGTGGTGGGAGGCCTTGGGGTCTTTTGTAAACCAAGAGCAGCAGCCCTAAGTCTCTCTTTCCTGTTTCAGCTAGTGAGCATTGGATCATCCTATAATTATGGGAATGAAGACCAGGCGGAATTCCTCTGCGTTGTCTCCAAGGAGCTGCACAACACGCCCTATGGCACAGCCAGTGAGCCCAGCGAAAAAGCAAAGGTAAGTCATCTTAAGTAGAGAAGAAAAGTGCACCAAACCCCAGGGCTGTATTTCAACGCTAATAAAACTCCTTGTAAGAAAGCAGCCTTGCCTCTGCCCACATTTGGTGTCCTTGCTCTCCCCATTCCATTTTCAGACAGTTGCCATCCACTCAGATCTTCCATGTCCAGTCACATTTTGACTTGAGATGTGGGGCTTTGGGCTGTTTTGAGTGGAAAATTATGTTTTGGAAATGAATCAGCATTCATTTAAGTAATCCCCCATTCATCCCACCACAAAAGAATTCTGTTTGTACCCTATTACAGTGTCTGTTCCTTTGCACCTGCCATAGCTTACTTCTCCTGTGGGTGAGCTAAGCGCTGTGTGAAGCAGGAGGCACTAAATGCTTGGTTAATGAGCAAAATTTCAACTTCTGGACAATGCTATTTGCATTTAAGTCCAAACTGACCTAAAGGAGAATGGAAGAATCTTCAAAAGATTAATGAACATCTGGCCGTAGCACATAGCCAAATGCACAGGGAAAAGTATTTCAACTGGCCTTCACTTCTGCCCAAGGGTTGTGGTTGAACCAGAGACTTCATCAGGAATGCCAACCACTCTAGCTAAGGGAGGGAGTGGCTAATGGCTCTCCATCCCTCAAGCAACAGAGCAAAGATGCAGATGCGTGGGATAAGAATTTAAGGTATTTTAAGACTGCAGACTAGATTTTAAGGGTATTCTTTGCTTCCTTTGTATTACCATGACATCCACAGTTTTACTTTTTTATGTTAATATAAAATGGCTAAGCTGCCTTCTAATTCTCACAAAGAAACGTTAATAAAAAGAGAGTGAGGGTGAGAAGTAGAGAAGGGAGAAAAATGAATTTATATGAGCATTTTAGAATCAAACTATAAAAAGCACTCCAGGGAAAAATAAAAAGCTATCTCATTGCACCAGGAGGTCACGCAGTTCTGGTCCTTAAAATATGTGATTGGAAAGTGTGGAGTTTTGCAGTGCCTCTAAGTTCTGGTGGCCATAATATGTCACTTCTCTGCTGGCTTTTCTATGGCTGTGTCAGAGGTATTGTGAGATTAACTAGTTTAACTACTTGATTTCTCAGATTGTGATTGCTTCTGAAATCAACTCTTCACAGTCAAGATACTGGCAGGATTTTGGGGTATTTTTATCTAGCTCCTTCAGCGCTTGCTTGCTGACCCAGGAGCCAGCAAGGCATCTCCAGATTCAATTCATGGAATCAATTAACCAGTTGTTCAAGGAAGTGTTGTATTATTTGCCATTATTCTCCATGTTTTGCTATCTTTGAGGATCTATAGAAGAAGCTTAACTCAACTTGAACTTCTTTTGAACTGTAGCTCATGAAAGCTTTTGACTTTTAATAAAATTTGTTAGCTTGAAAAGATGCTACCAGATTCCTCCTGATTTTTAGCTTTCCTCCTATAATGTCATATTAAGTGTGAAGGTAGTGGTGAGCGCTGAACTTTACCTGCTGCTTTTTCTTCCCTCTCAGTGTTGCCTCTTGTTTTTGTATTTGTACATCCCTTAATTCCTAATACTAGGTAAAAGTGAATTGAGATATCATTATTCCAATTTTGTGTTGTCCTACATTTCTCTTGCAGTTGGCCTTTTTTAGAACAGATGTGACACATGTTACACTCCTGCCAACCTATCCTCATGCAACAAATACAGTCAGGTCCAGAAATATTGGGACATCGACACAATTCTAACATCTTTGGCTC